AGTGTTACTAGCGACGTGGTTCAGAATGCGGGACACTCGTTTACCAGTTGGGTCAGTCGAATACCGTGTACAGTTCACCATTGACTGACTGATCGACAGTAATGACAACGGGAACAACGTTCCATTGTCGTGTTCACGCCTGGGATGATTTGGTGTATTACACCAGTTGACAGATAGAGAGTAGGCTGGCCGAAATGTTTAGTAGACGATACCTATCTACTACTATATACTAGTGATAATAATTTGGAATGCGCATTCGTACGATAAAATCCTGATGAGTGCAATACGTTTAAATAGTTTGCGAAGAGATTATCAACGCTATTCTACTCCAGTGTTACATATAGCCTCCGAAAGCTTCAGTGTGGTCGGGGGTGGGTGTCTAGGGTTGCGGATGGTCACCCTTCCCTCGCACTTCGCGAAATGCTCTCATAGGACCAGGTATCTCAAATAGTCTCTGCTGAGGAAGCCCTTCTCACTGTCTTCTTGTGACCGAAGTGTTTTCGCACCAAAGTGAGAGGACAAAAAGCCGACACCTGAGGCTATAATCGCGTTGGTGGACAAGTGGTAGTTCACCTAGGGGAGTTGGCCCAAAACTCTGATTCTAAACTAAGCGAGAAGAGGCGTATGAACCACACGCACACCTTCCTGGTTGCTGCAGTGGTCACCGGCTTGATTGGGCACCTTGGACGTTTGACTCCGTCTAAAGGGCTTATGATCCGATGAACTGGATACCGGCTCCCAATGGATTGCGGTTTTCACTAAACCGCCTTAGTACCTTGCGGGTCAGGCTTTGGCAAGCCGAAGTCTCCGGTTTTGGATTCCTCAAGATATTTCACGTGCTTTGGCCTGGGCAACCTGACAGTATTCGGCCCTCATGCAAATCGTGGACCTTTGTTCTTTGTATAAAGATTCTTGTGCCGCGATTTGTTTGGCACATAGTCTGACCTTAGACGTGAGTGAAATATAATATTATATTAGTGTTACATACAACGACAGCTGAGAACGATTGTATTGTGTATTATGTAAATTTTGCAAGCACTGAAACTTAAATTTTTAAGTTAAAAAAACATTCACAGCATATAAACTTAACTGAGTACTTTGAATTCGCAAGCGCTAAAGTGATGGCGGACACGGAATGGTGGAATACAGCAGAGGAGTAATATAGTTCCACATCGCGTTATCTTCCTCCGCAAGTCTTGTAAGCGAACGACCGTCTAGAGCGATTAACTAAGGACAATATTAAAAATCCGTCACATGAAACATGCCCAACGCAATACACTACGAACAGTGGCAGTACGAAACGCCCGAGTTAGCGAAATCATCTATTATCTCCAATCGCATCTTTTTATGTGTTATCGAATGCACTAAGAAGTAGCGAGTAAAACGACAAAACCAGGACGGAAATATTGAGTAGATTATTCCCAATAATAAAAGAGTTGAAGCTTTTGTCGAGTTCTGAGTCTTGATCACGCCTTTTCCACGGATAGCAAACATGTAATTCCAATTACAGTACACGATATGGATATCGATTTACGTACAGAACATCGTGCTATTCACGTTATTGGTCAGGTCGCTGTGACGCAGTAATGCTATGTCACATGATGCGTGATGGCCCCTGCCACACCTGATGTACAACTTCACTCGGCAATCACGTGACATTCAAATGCTATTTGAACGGGTGAACTCCATAAAATCATCACTACCCACGCCCTCCCCTCATACACAGCCTACGTAAGGACGATGGAATGAAAAGTTTAAGAAGGAATGAGAGGAGCAGGGAACAAATCAAAAATGAATAAATGGAAAGTGCTTATCATCAGACTAACCTCCATCCTTGTTTACAAAAGAAAGGCAGAAGACTCAAGTCTGATTTGTAAAAGGGCGTTTTGGGAGCGATATTCATATCTAGTATACCTCATTTGAAACGAGTAAAGGTTCGTGAAGAAGATACACGTCCTGGTTGCAAGGATATAAATAAAAAGACAAAGGATTACTCGGATACGCATGCCTGAAGAACGAGCAAAGCGAGAATGGTTGTGTACTTTCAAGAAAATTTTGTCCAGTCATTCGTATACCAATTATTTTAAAATATTCTAGAAAGGTGCGCAAGTCACGTTTATTGCGGTTAGTAGCACCTAACCCATCTATGGAAAACAGAATTATAGTAGTAATTAATCACAAATTGACTGGATTTGAGAGGGATTTTCACATTACCTTCCTTGTTGTTCAAAATGAGATATTTGTGACGAAAATACAGTTCCCTAGCATCCCGAAATGAGGTCAATTTGGGCTTTACGTTGGAGTCTGTCAAGCCCAGTAGTCATGCTTCTTCAATCCTGTTTGGCGATTTCATTATAGAATTCGTAGACCAACATATATCACCCTGCACACATTTTGTTCATAGATTTGGCGATGACCTTTCGTACCCCGGGTATGATGATATATCACTTTGTCGACTTCTCATCATTATAGTGAACAGTGGGACTTCAAGCAAATTCCATTCAGTATTGATTTTTACAACAATTATTCTGTCCCACATCTCGTATACACCGCGATAAACAAACTGAGACATCTGTTGGCGAATTCCAATAGAGTACTGACGTGAAGATTATACGTAGGGGTTGGATATTTTCGGTTTTCTTTTCTTTTCACCGTTTCACAAGTGTAGTTTTCGATTAAAATGTGAACCAACATGCTCCCGGAATTTAAACAAAAAGCAAATCGAACAGTTTTGACAGAACGATTAAGGACAGTGGCCAGAAGCAGATTAATATAATTACACGGAGAAGTAAATGACTATATGTCACAGTGATACGAGCTGACCTATGCGAAAATATTAAGTCCCGGGGTCCGACTGACTGAACGCCCAGGCTCCGACTGAACAATCAACATCAAGAAGACGGATACGCATGACACATCACCTGGTCTATCTGAATGACTTGTAGTGCTATCATGTTGCAGGCTTTTACCACCGATAACTGCATTACGACAGATTTATTCCGACTTAAATCACACAAAGACCAATGACACGTTGTTTATCGCAAACATCCCTTAATCAACAAACCATTCCCCCAGAATGTGACATCCCAAATAACTCTGCATTGGTTCTCAATGGTAACCTTCCGACACAGACACAGACACACACATTAAGTCAGCGGAGAGCCCCAGTTGCAATCCGTATAGACTTGACCGATTCCATCGGTCAATCTGATCAGCGCTTTCGATCGTGTGAACCACGTAGTGTAGCCGAATCCACGAAAAGACTCAACCCGTAGGGGGCGTGTGGTGTTTCTGACGCCATTGTCTACTCCGTGATCGGATGGATTTTTCTCACAATAGGAACAAAGACTGTAGGCAGTTCCCACCAGAGTGCAAAACGCCATAGTTCTATTGAAATTGAAAAAAGGCATTGAAATAAAGAGATAAAGGGAAGGACAAAAGACATAAATTGGAGTGGCAACAGAACTTACAATTTCAGCAATGTGAGGTGGGAATTGGTCTTCGGAGAGAAAATCTTCATTGGCCAAAGGATCGATACGACGATACATCAGATAATAGGCACTAGCTCTGCTTGCATAGGATGTTTGTTTCGCACCAAACGTATTTAACAAGTCCGTATAACTGGCCTTTGTGACATGTCGGTCGTTAAATTGATACCATTGATTGTCCGTGAAAGATCTATTTGATAGGTGCGACAGAAACAAGGCATATACATTCGGGAGCTGGTTGATTTTACGCCTTAGTGAAACACGTCGTGTGAAGAAGAGAAATACTAAATTATCCAAATCTATACTACATCCCAGAAACTTAAATCTGAATGAAATGAAATTCTGCATACCGAATTCTCAACATCATTTACTGAATAGTAAGCAGTAAGTCGCGAATCAGGTATTCGAGTATGAGTGACAATCTAGCATAGATTATTTTGGTTGAAAAATGCCTACACCGAATTACTAGGAATCCAAATTGCAGATGTCATGTCTCTCTAAATCAGCTTTGGAAAATTCTCCATTCGCCGACCCCTCGAACTCGATCGTAGCACGGACAGAGCGAAAGTTGTACTCAAGGTTGTACAATGGTGTTAGAGTTTAAAGGAAAAGGGGATCATTGTGTATACATGAATCGGCCTTGTGCGCGATAATCCATATTAGAAGGTTCCAGAGCAGGAGTGACGAGTAAGATGGAGCAAATAAGGGGTTCACGTGACTGGTTATACATTTGAGCAAAGTCCGAGCAATATCTGGAATCTTCCGGGTGATTCTCAAGGGCTAGCTTCGTTTTCCCATATATACGGACCAGTTTTCAGGAAGAATTTCAGGCTTCTGATAACAGGGAGGGAGCTTCAGCCGACTAAGGATAGCCAGAAGAGAAAGATATATGACTGCTGGGTGACGATAACGTCATTCGAAAGCGTGTACTCTTTGTACTTTTACCTTAAGGCGATATTCTCTAAAACGAGGATAGGTAACATCATGGATTCATGCGTTATGAATGTGAACATCAAAGTAAAAACTTGTATCCCCAATCCGCTAACTCCTGCACAACCACGTGCTACCCCTAGAACAAGAGGGCCATGGTGAAGGTTTTCTTTTGTGGTGAATTAATTCCATGGTCATTACGAACATCCATTCGGACACGTGTGGTTTGTTGTTGTTGCAAAGAGATCGCTAGTAAGAAATTTAAAAAACACCTGACCTGCTGGGGTGTGACCAGTGACCGTGCATGAACGCTTATTCCGTAACACCCCGTGCACCTATTCACAGGTGACCACCTAAGCGACCGCGACTCGGAGACACATCAAGAGGCGTACAGCTTCGCTGTCAGAGGACTTGCAGTATCCTATAGAATCCTAACGTACAATGACTTGGACCGTGAGACGGATCAACTATTATAGGTGGATGTAGTGTGATTCCAGATAATCTGTTACAATGAACTGGGTTTGAGACTAAGGGAAGCGATTTTGACGCTTTCAAGTTAATGGATGCTGGGATGTTCTCTGATTTGTTATCAGTCATTAGTTCTCTCTCTTTCAGTACGCAGTAATTTCATGATATTTTAAGGAGCCTAACCGTTCTGTCAAGGACTATACTGGGGGCCCAACAACATTCTCGGCTGGGACAACCAATTGCGATTATTATAATAGTAAATTCAATTCAGTTACAAAGGTATAATCCGAACAGGGGATTCTGAAACGAAGACTACTTACTTAATATCGTCAGTTCCACTACCACACTCACAATAAAAAAGAGTAACGAACTATCTTCAATAGAACCCTGGAAACTATCAAGGTCAGTGCGTTTCGAGGGTTCAAAATCAACTCACTAGAATTTATTCAAACTATTAAATACGGTTCATCAAACACACCATCAGGATCAAATTTTGCACCATATTCGCTGAACCCGTTTCTATGGCACTAACACTATTTTTCATGCATTATCGTGCGATGAGCGGCAGAACTGGTAGACGCCATAGACAGGAGGAAAAACTGGAAGCTAGTCAGAGTGAAAACAGAAGCCCGGTGGCTATGACTAACCATATAATGTTCCACTAGCACAGATATAAGAACACCGCTGCCTACGCCGCATTACAAGCAACTGATGGGGTAAATGGAAAAGCAAGACTCAGCTTAGGTACAGAGTTTCAGGTTACCGCGGTCGCCCGCTAAAGCCAGTGCTCAACTTCTCTTTAGATCACGTTGGTTTGGGGTAAATGTGATGAATCCCATCGGGTCGATTTATACGGCGCGCAATATTTGGCGAGGTAAGGAATGGATGGAGAACAGTAAAAAGGTGATTAAACTAAGAGCTGGAATGAGAATATGGAAACGCTGATCAGGAGGGTTGCTTATATGGATCGCGTCAGACGTCCTGGATGCGGGCCTCAGGACCAGCTTAACTGATGGTGAGAGATATTGAGAAATATGGCTCTGTCGTAAGCAGTGAGGCTCGAAAATCAACTGGATGTCCATCTAACCGTAGACAACCAGATTGGCGTATTTTCACCTTGACACGTTGAACGGAAGTGTATGGTTGATGATTGCTGAAAATGCAAATAGTGTGGTAATGAGTCAGTCGACGGCGAAGCTGCCTACCACCGAAGTTGGATGTTGGTGGCGGAGTTCGAATCACGAACCCAGTGTCCAAAATACATCGGTATTAAGGAATTTAACCGTCCAATCATCAGCTCGACCACCACGAATCGGTAAAGTACGAATATTGGGGCCGAGTGCACAATGTTGAGGTCGACCGCAAGTCACTAGGAGCAGCTTCATGTCAGAACTCTGTACCAGTTAAAAGTAGTGCAATGAAAAGGTGATGTTGGTTCGAAAACGGTATCAAAACCATATAGCCCTACCAGTTTGAAAGAAAAAAATTAACCTAATGAGCCGCCATTTTTTTCGAAAACAGATATCCATTGAGCGTTATGAGAGTTGTTCAGTATAGGTCAAAAAGATGCTTGTCATGAGATTTTGCCAGATATCGAACAACACGTGTTTATTAGCTGTCCTAATAAGCGCAAGGAACAGTTATATGTGCAAATGTTCACTCACTTGATGTAGGCATAGTAATGGCCTCCACTGATTGACCCCGAGTGAACCACGATCGAAAACAATGTGTAAACCCATTTGGATGGGGGTTTTGAAATAGTCGAACCTTGTGCTGTGTGTTTCGTCTCCATGGCGGTGACTTTCGTGGGTGTACGATCCAAGATGTGTCCTTCGGCTGAAGTTGTCGCAACCGCCGGGTCTTTCAATGGATAAGCGTGTTTGTTATGAGCTGGCACTTCCATAAACTGCGGTCGGTCATTATGCTGATCATGTAGCGAAGAACAGGCAGACTGTGTATCACCAGTACCGAAACCGTCATCATCCT